TCTCTCTCTCTATATATATATATATATATATATGATATCATTTGGTTAATACCAAGAATTTCCATGTATGAAATATTATTGTGCTGTTGCTGGGAGCAGTGTTTATTAATATTAAATTTTCTGTGATGGTGTTAAGATCCTTGCTATTTTCTAATTAATTATTCTAAGTAGAGTATTGGAAACGTCAGTTATAATTATTGGATTATATATTTTCCCTTCAGTTCTATTAGTTATTATTTAAATATCTTGAGGGTTCTAATTGTTCATTGTTAAGTACCTAGGTGTTGAAAACAGTTAATGTGCTTGACTGCTAATCAGAAGATGGTAGTTTAAATCCACCCAGAGTAGCCTCAGAAGAAGGGCTTGGCAATCTTTTTTGGGGAAAAAAAGAAAAAGAAAACCCAGTTAAGCACAGTGCTGTCCTGGCACATATGAGTTGGAGTTGACTCAATGGTAACTGGTTAGCTGCATATATATTTCTAATTTTCTACCTCTCAGGTGAATTGACCTTATTATCAGCATGAAATGTCATTTTTCCCTCTAATATCTCTTATCTAATGCCTATTTTATTGGATCTTAATATAGGCACTCTAGCTGTTTTAGAGTGACTTTTTGCATGTTATATCTTTTTGTTTACATTCAGTTTATTTTTGTGTCTGATTTTTAAATTTTGTCTTGTTGTAAGCATCTTGTTGGACCTTGCTTTTTATCATGCTGACAATCTCTGCCTTTGGATTTGTTTATCCATTCCCATGTAATGTAATTAATGATATGGTTGGAGTTATATTACTCATATTTTACTGTTGCTTTTCTGTATGTCTCACAGCTTTGTTGTTGTCCCACTTTTCCTCTTCAAATGGCCTTTTGTGTTAAGCAAATACCTATACTATACCATTTTAATTTTTTGACTTTTAAACTAACTTAAAAAATTATTTACTTAAAAGTTGTATTAGTGTTGTATTATGCATTTTATTTTATCTGTATTAGAATTAACAGATTTACTCTAGTAAAATATAGCTTCTTCAATCTACTATAGCTTCATTTCATCTCTATCATCGTGTTATTATCACTTATATTACATCTATATATTACACAAACCCAACAATACAATGTTATATTGTAATACATTGTTTTGTCTTAAAAAAATGTTCAAAGAAGAAAAAATATATATTTGTACCATTGTTTACTTATATATTTCCATTTCCTGTACTCTTCATTTATCCTTGTAGATTGGCATTCTTGCCTAGAGTTGTTGTCTTTCTACCTAAAGGATTTGATTTAATAATTTTGCTAACAACAAATTCTTGCAGTTACGTCAGCAGGTTTTAATGAGCAAATCTTTCTTAGCTTGCTGATTGTAATTGCTCAGTTTTTAGAACTAAGAAATCATTGTTTTTGACAATTTTATCCAATGTTTATTGGTTATTAGGGAGAGGATTTGCTGACTTAATCACTGTGCCATCACCGGAAGTCCTGCCTCACCTGTCAGCTTTGAAAATGGCAACTTCTCTTGCTGAAGTTCCACTATACGATGCATCTTTTTATAGATCAGTGGTATCATTTTGGTACAAATTTTGGATCTCTGAGGGACTGAAACAGTCTGTTTACCCTGTTGTCCAGTCTGCCAACCTTTGATGTACAATCTGTCATCTTCATCTTATTTGGGTGTCAGGAATTTTATACGTTAACAGTGATTGCCAGTAGCTTTTAAAAATACATTGTCCTCTTTTGAACATTACGTGAATGGCATCTGACCCTATTTATAATCATGAATTTAATTCTGTTTAAAATGAGTAATTATTGGATCCCTTGGCAGTGAATTTAGTTTTGCTTTTCTAAATGATTATGATTAATTTATACCATTATATATACTGGATTAAGCAGTATTATATTGTTTCTCTTCTATAAAACAGGATGTTTAAGTGGTTAACATTTACACTGCAGTATAGCTTTCTGGCTCATGAAAAATGAAGGCTATCAGCAATCTGAGCAATAACATTCATCGCCAATAGTCACTAGCAAGAGCACACAGCATTTTAATATCAGTGAGGTCCACAGCAAGCAGTAAGAGCTGCTGTAATTGAAAGACGTTTAGGTGCAATCATTCTGCTGTTTGTTGCTTGCCAGGTTCAACATGGGATTGTGTGAGTATTTGAAGAAAACAGCAATTTTTTTTATATCTGTGAATTATGTAAAAGGGTATATCAGAGCTTAAATTTAAGAAATGTGAGAATAATAAAGTCATGTGCTCTGAAACAATTGTATTTTATTTATCTTGGTTGATTAAAGCTTTAGAAAAGCTACTCCTTGGTTACAAGTGAACCGATAATTCTGGTCTAATGTTGCCGTGGTAACAACTCATGCTGATATAATTGAGAACATCTTATACATCCTGGTTTGAACATTTTCTCCCTGCCATTTTGAGTTGTTGTAGTGGTACATGAAGGAGGCAAGGACAGCTAGCTTGAAAGGAATTAATGTGAAATCTAGTTGTACCTCTCCTTGGTATTTATCTGTTGTTTACTAGTGATATCTCCGGCTGGCAGTTATGCTTTCCTTCTAAGGGCTTTTTTTTTTTTTTAACAAAAGAAAGCTCTTTTCATTTGCTGTGCTGCATGTTCCTGTGTGTGTGTTTACACCATCGGTTCCTCAACCTCTAGAGATTAGCATAACTCCCTTTGCTGTTGGATTGTTTTGAACAATATGTTTTGGAAAGGTTGATTTTCATCATGAGTGGTAAGTATGCTCTCGAAGACTCCAAAATGGTATAATTTTAAAGTACTTATTAAGAGGGAAAATGCTTTTTAAAGGGACCGTTATCAAGCTCGGACAATATGTTACATTTTATGTTGATGCTTTTGCCATTAGTCTTTATAGTAAACTGCTTCTAAAAGCCATTAACAACTGCAAATAATTAATAGTAATAAGAGTTGATAGTAGTAATCGGTTTCTCTATGGTTTAAATTATGGTAATTTTTTAGGGTCTGTTGTTATAAATTAGTGAATAAAAGACCCATCATAATAAAAAAAGATTTTTTAGGGTCTAGTTCAGATGATAATTTGTTTAACTTTCCTTTAATTAGCTTTGTTATCCTTGACAATTTTTATTATCTTCTTTATGGTTATAAAAAATACTAATCTTGAAACTAATAGGCTGTCCATTTGTTGGTTGCAATTAAAATTACATGAGAAATAGGGATTGAACAATGAAATAAATATATGCATTTTAGTTTTAGGAGCTTTTGTTAAAAATTTTAAGAAGCAAATTTTTGGAGGAAATATCCTAGAATGAGTGTATTTGTGATAATTAATCTCTTTTGTATTCTAGTAAGATGTGTTTTTCTAGATATTTTCAACAGTTTTGTTTTGTTTTGAGAAAATGAACTGCAGTATATACTGCAGTTTACCGTAGGGTAAGGTCTATTCACTTTAAGCCAAACCTGTAGCTAAATATAGATATCCTGTTGATAGAGTGAGAAATATGCGCTTAGAGCATATATCATTAGCATATTTTTGCTAAGCTAAAAAGCCAAGTTTATAAATTAAGCTTTGATTCAGATGTCTTTTATAGGAAAAATATATGGTTTCTCTGATAACAATATACGTGAAAATGTTAGCTATTGGGATTGAGAATTCAAGAAATGTGATTTTTTGCTGTACAATGAGTGATAGAATTCAAAATAGTACATGAACCTTTTCTTTCATAACAGAATATACCTCATTGTCACTTATTAAAAAAATAAGTATTTTTTATTCTGTTGTAACACAGTGCAAACTCTACAACTCATTGTTAGGTATTTGATTATAGAATATCAGATTTCAGGGTAGCATTTTATATGTAAGATATTAAGACTTTATCTGGAGTGTTATTTTCCTGTTATCGAAGTAAATAGACTTAGTTGATCTAATGTTTTAATTGTGGACTAATGTTACAAAATGAACGTATTGCCATTCCATGGGACTTTTATTAACATAGAAGCGGAATATGAATATGGCCCATTCCATAGGACTTTTATGAATATAGAAGCTGGTAATCATACATAAAATATCAAAATGTCATTGAATCATACCAATAGGCATTTTCTCACTGAAGATTTTTCCATATGCCATAGAATCTTTAGGTTATCCCCTTGGTATTCTGTGGGTTTTAAAATAGAATGGGTTGCTTTTAGCTAAAGAAAATTACTACTGTTTCTCTCTTTTCTTTTTGTTGTGTTTACCTCCAAAAGCACTGTGGATTTTTCAGATAGTAGTTTATATTCTTGATCAGATCAATATGCCTTTATAGTCTTTTTCGATTATCGAAGTCAGTATAATCACAGCTCGACATCTGATTTTTTTAGGGATATCCAACTGCAAATAATGTTAACTCTAGCCATAAATGGTTGAATGGCCAAGACATTTTAGCATATGGAAAATCACAAGTAAAAATGTGATTTTATTCATAAAAATAAGCAAGTGGGGTTTTTTTGTATGTTATTTCAACCAAAGTCTGTAACTATACAGTGGTGTATACATGTATATAGTGCATATTAGATCAATGGCCTATCTGTTGCATCCATCTCACAACATTCTCTGATCTAACCATGCTGTCATACTTATATACCTTGCTATAAGTAAGGTATATACTTTTTTATAATGATATCATTTATCAAAAACATTTTGAAAACCAACCATGCTTTAACAGTGCTTCATCATTAATGGAGTGGAGTGAAGTGGCTCTTTTTAAGCAAATCTATGCCATAACAGTTGTAGTATTGAAATTATTTATTTACTTGTTAGTTTCCAATCTCTAGCCTCTGAATTCCTTAAGTGAAGGCATACCTTATACATCTGCGTGTTTTAAGTAGTTAACCCCAGTGCTCAACTATACGTAATAAATAAAGGATTTTTTTTAAACATAAAATTTTACATACTATAAATATTCATCTTATATTACCTGTGAAAACTATCAGTTATATTCTTTATTTTTATTCAGAAAACATGATAATCATAATGCTTAGTTTTTATTATACCTGAATCTGTGTAGCATAAAGTCTGACAAAATAAGAAACTTAGTTGTACCAAGGACAACTTTAAAATATATTTCTAGTATTAAAAAATACATATTTTTAGTGTGAAAGAACCTTTTACTTTTAATTTTTTTCTTAGTCATATCATTTTGTTAACTTTTGCTCTTGGTTAGCAAACTTTTGTGTAGAAATACTAAAAGAACCTCTTTAAAAGGCAGTGTAATTATCTAATGGCCCTTTAACGAAGTATTAGAAAATGATTCAGACGGTCTTAAGCAGAAAAATACACGTGTGTTTTCAGGATGCGGCATTATCTCAGAGCTCCAAGGCAGATAATAGAGTTGGTGTTATCAGGGACTGGAGCTGGGAGTTGGAAAGGTGACAGAAACCAGTCTTTCTCAGTTTTCCCCCCTGGGACTACATGTTAGTTTTACTCGACTTCTCTGCTTTTATCCTCTTTACTCCCCCCAATTTACATGAAATAGACTGTTCTCCTAGTTGCACACCATGTAATTCAGTCACTCCACAATTTGAGAGTTTATATATGCTTCTAGATATCAGCTTATCAAAACATAACTAGCAGCACTATATAAAAAATCTCAGGTTAGAGCTCTGATTGGCCCAGCTATTGTTGAGGACAAATCCCAGAAGACATCAGTCTATTATAGATTGCAGGAAAATTTCATAGTTGGGCACAAGCATTAAAATATTTTCCGTTTTTAGATCCTGATTGAAATTATTGTAAGACTATAAAACAGAAAACAGTCCATCAATCTTGGAGTTAAAGAAGGACACTTGCCCAGAAAGTGTAGGATCAAATTGAAGACTGTATACTAAAGTGTAACCATTTTGCTTTGAGTAACCTGTCTTCACGGAAAAGACAAAGATAGTAGCTTCATGGGAAGTCCAAAGCTGCTTACACTTTCATTCTCAAGTAACTGCTTTGGAAAAAACAAGCATTTTTAGGCTATTCTTAATTCTAAGTTAAAAGTTAGGCCTTTCTTCTTCCAGATATGGCAGGCCTCAGCCCTGTTATGGTGGGTGTGTTAGTCTGAGTTGACTAAACAACAAATCCAGAAGCATTCATATGTGTAGAGCTTTATATCAAAGAGCAATTGGATACTGAGAAAACATCCCAGCCCAGTCCAGGTCAAGTCCATAAGTCTGATATTAGCCCATATGTCCGACACTAGTCCATAAATTCCACTTGAGACTCACGTGGCCACTTGAAATGATGGCAAATGCAGGAAGATCACAGGCCAGTGGGTGAACTCATGTGGATCCATTGGCCATGGAAGCATCGCAGGGCTGTCTCCACAAGTTTCTATTGCATGGCTCACTCAAGTCTCATCGTAGCTCCACATGGACGAAGGCAGAGTGAGAGTGTGGCTTGCCGCCAGGAAGAGAGAGAGGAAGTTCTCAGAATCCTCACAAGAAGTCCATGCCCACAAGTAGGCATCATCAGGCTGTGACATGATTGACAAACTAGACTTCACTCCTTCACTCTTAATATCCTCAAGTTGTAATAAGATTACGTAAATAATCACACAGTTATTAGTTGCCACACAGTGGGCAACTCCACCTGGAAGGAACCCTGTATCTTGGCTTTATTCCCATTTAATTATTTAACTAATAATATAAATATGTGTTAATTAAAGATCAGAGAAGGTGATTTTAACAGTACCTACCTTATTTGAGGCATTGATCAAATTTTGAAAGGCTTCTCGTTGTTCATGAATGAGCAAACACGAAAATGAAGACAGAATACCTATTAAAGAGATTATGCACATTTAAAGGATAAATAAAAAGGTTTCCTTCAAGAAGAGAAAAAACTTGCTTTCAGAAAATATTTCTGGGAAAGGCTGTAAATATAAATTATTGGTGGACTCTGTATTGAATTCTTAAATATTTCAAGTGAGCATAAGACACTAAAGAGAAGATGTAATGACATATGAAAGGAGAGTTGGCTGAGAGACAAGAACAGGAAAGAAGCATAATGATGTGATAAGGGAAATGACAAGAAAATAAACCTGCATTTGCAGACTGTGCAGTTGAAGTAGAAGCAGGAAAGAGCAGAATAATCACTGCACGAAAAGAAATTAATGATATGTAGATTTAACCTGATAAACCCTCCCAGAATGTAAGGGAAATTGGATAAAATTTATGAAGGGAAAATTTATAGGTGAAAGTAGGAAATTATTCAAATGGAATGCAAAACATTCCCAGATCATAACTAACAGAAGTAATAATAAAACATATGATTTAGGGAAACTGAGTTAAAGCAAAAACCTGAATCTCTGTAAATTGAAAGAACTCATTGTGTTTTGACAGGCATTTGGAAAAATACCAATATATTTTTAGGAAACTTTAATGTGAAGAAAAAAGAATAATTTCCACAGGTCTCTCTGTATCTTACAATTCAACACGAAGCTTTTCCTATAAAGAAAAAGGCCAGAATTTGCAGAGAAGGTAGTTTGAAAAATCTTCTAAGGCACCCAGAAAGACTAAATAAAATATAACGAGCATTCTGTGTTAGACTAGGTCTACTAGAGAAACAAATACAGGGACACCCATGTGTGTATAAGAACGAGGTCCACATGGGTGCATAAGCAAATGTGGCGAAGAAAGCTGATGGTGCCCAGCTATCAAAAAGTATAGCGTCTGGGATCTTAAAGGCTTGAAGGTAATCAAGCGGCCATCAAGCTCAGAAGCAACAAAGCCCAC